CCCAAAACCCCAAAACCCCAAAACCCCAAAACCCCAAGGCTGTAGAATTTAGAAAATTTCAGCAATAATAATTATAGTTAATGATTAAAAGAAAAATTTAAGCAATAATATATATAAAAATTATAAGTTAAACACACCTTAGCTGCAGAATATATGAACGAAAAAAACTAAACTTACTATGATAAGTTTGTCAAAATTAATTAAAAGCTATTTTTAATTAAGATCGGACTTAAAGATAATAGATGCATAATGAAAATTGAATTGAACCTGTAAAAAGAAAATGAGGAGAAAGATTAAGTGAATAAAGATGGAGTTATATTAGATGAAAAATTATCATGTATACAAGGCAAAACAACTATTCTCTCAGATTTTGATATTTGCTGGACTAACATGGATTACATTATACATGAATAGTTCATTAAAGGATTTCTATATCTTAGATTCAGTTCATGCTTCAAATTTTTCTATCTAGGAGATGATCAAAGCATCAAAATAGTTCACATATTTTAGAAATTCCACTGGCCTAAGATATATTTTAGCTGTACCACTAAATTATCGAATTGCCTGATAAAAATGCAGTAGGCCTTTTTCATCATAGACAACAGGGTATTTAGAGATTTTAACACTAAAATGGTAATTAATTATCGAAGTCAGCAATATTCAAAATTAAGGAAACCAAATATTAAATTGAATACCTTAAGAACTTAGAGAAAAAGCATTACTACACAATTCAGTGTTCAGATAACAATCAAGAGTATGAGAGTTTTTATTTCATCGTGAAAATCAAAGTTCCTAAAATCGTGTAAAATTAGTCTGAAATAACTGAGAAATATATTAAAATTAGGTATCTTGCTTAGCTTAGTTAAAATCTCAGATTTGATAGGCACGTTATACTAAACTAATGTGGGTCTTAGTATTTAAATTTTCATTTGAGAGAATTTAGGGTATTTAAAATGAAGAAGATCTCATATAAAGCTATAAGATAAAAAATTCTTGAAAATGATTATGTAGAGATAATGTCTTAATCTAAAAATATTTCATAGATGAAAGAATTACCCTTTGTAATATGCAAATCAACCAGAGATAAGAAAAGATTCACATTAAACGTGATGAACCATAGCATAACTAACTTTGATTAATGTCTAGGTGAAGTGAATCTTATAAAGCTTAAAAATGAGGTCAATAGTTTACATTATGGATATTATTTTCTTGAAATTAAAAAGGGAGATATGATATCTGTTAAAAAATTACTCTGATATTTGTAAAAGAGTTTAATATTAAGCTAATTTTGCTTAATTTACATTTTTTGAATAAATTTGATTAATGGGGTTTTGGGGTTTTGGGGTTTTGGGG